CCTCTCCCCATCCCACCAACCCTGCTCCCACCGGCCCTCCTTCCACCCCCAACCGCTCAAACCCTCGACACGCAATTCACAGCCGCGCTGTCATCATCCGCTCTCCTCGTCGATATCCAGGAACGCTACATCAGGAGGCGCCTTGCAGCCATGAACGTCAGGGAGGAAGACCGGCCGACTGCAGAAGAGGATGCTGTGTGGTTGTTGGGACAGATCATGAGCGAGAGAGTCGGTGAAATGGGATCATCGAGATCGAGTCGTCGTGACCAGAATCAACAACATGGTGGGGATGGAGAGAGAGGAGAACACGTGGTGGACACGGTGGAGACGACGGTGGAGACGGTGGAGATGAAAGACACCGAAACGGGGTTGTCTGTGCATTCTCAAAGATTCGCGGCGTACATTCCGTCCCGTACCCCGGTCTTTGGAGTAGCAAAGGCGTTGGAAGGGGAAATGTAATCTTTTGTATATTTTTGACTCAAATGGGAGAGTCTGTCCGTCTCTTGCAAGATGGACGTTATATCAGCTGCTGCGGCTGCACTTCATCGGGTTTCCTTTTGCACACAGAGTTTCAAGCTTGCAAGTGGTGATACCTATAAACTGCATCCATTGTATTGTCTTTTTGTTCTAAAAAGTGAGACCCTTATCGATGCGGATAGACGCCCGTAAATCCCATCCTAATCTGTAAACCGTCTCAACTGGTTGGATATTTTGGGTAAACGGTTCCAACGTTCGTCCCACCCCGAAAAGTTCACACCTGCAGTAAAAACAAGTCACCCACTTCTCCCCTCCTCAAAAAAGCGCAGACTTGAAGCCTCTCAAACCGGCATCCACTTCGTGATAGCTCTCAGTCCGGGAATCGAACCCGGGTCTTCCGCGGGCTGTTGACCAGAAGGTTGACAGGCGGAGATACTGACCACTATACTAACTGAGAGAGGACATTCTCTATAAATTTTCAACAGAACCATATGGATAATGGAAAATGCTGGGTATCCAAACGAAACAGCTGGTGGGGTATCCGAACAAATCCACAGAAGTGGAGTGGCAAGAGAAGTATTATATAAAGAGTATAAACAAAAGTATTTTCGCAGTAGGTTACCGTCCACTATTGTAGGTTGGGTTCTTCTCTTACACGTGCAGCTCTTTTGTGAAAGTTACGTCCAGCGCGAAAACATCATTTTACGCGGTTTGTTTGGATTTCCGATTGTTTTGATGCCATGGCACGGACACCAAACAAAACAACCCCAGTTTCAACAAATTCTCCCACTGTCTGACGGATTTTGTCCGCACATCCAACCCCACGCTCGCTTTTGCGGAAGTTCTCACCAAAACCCAACCCACACATGACATCCGTCGACCTTTCCCTCTTTCCGGAAGGTACCGCAAGGGTTCTGTTTCTGATTTAGCATACACTTTACAGCTGACCAATGTCGTTGGAAGACACTCTTGACCGAGGCACGTCAGAAACCTCGCTTAACTCCACCGACGATGATTCTTCAGCAGCGCACTCCCCCTACTCCCCGCTCGCCCGGTCGGATGTCGAAGGAAGCGGATACCTCCAAGCACCTCCACCGACTCCCATGCTGCCCCTCTCGACAGCAGTTCCCCTTCACCACAGCGCGCAGCAACCCGAATTCGGTGCCTCCCTGCGCAGGAGCCTCTCCCACGGATCCCGTGGTGGTATATCCAAACCGCACTTAAATAGACGCCATTCGCGTACGCCTTCAGTTGGGACAGGGCTACCGCTGGTCAAAGAGGCGTTTGTGGTGGGTGCCAAGGACCCCGTTATGAGTCCCGTTGAAGATCCTGTGGGAGGCTATGATGGCGACGAGGAGGCATGGGGGTCAATCATGGGATCCGGGAACTTGAGTGAAGGATCTGCAGAGGAGGATACCGACCTGATGCGAGCAATTAGCGGGGATGAGATGGAGGACAGTTTAGTGGACCGCTTCGGGAATTTGATGGCCGGATTCGAGCCTTTGCCGTCCAGCGGGCCGGCGGAAAGTGCCAAGGAGGGGCAAGTAGCGTACCCTCGGCCACCCCTGCGGTCTATTAGCTCGCTGCTCATGGAACCTCTTGACGCTCCGTGGCCGTTAGGGGATCCAGAAAACGCGGCAATGGAGCTGGACCAGAGTCAACCGCACACTCAAACAGCTAGGCATCCGCAACAGCAACAGCAACAAAACCCACAAGTCGTTCCCGGAATCCCGCAGCAGGCTTCTTTCCCTCAACAACATCTGTTTCGACCGCAACCCTTGACGCTACAAACCCAACCCATGCACATGGGAGGTCCTCCAATGATGTACATTGGACCTATGGGTCATCCAATGCCCCACCCGGCCCTCTTCATGAACCCGACTACTGGACTTCCAATGATACACCCATCGTTCGCATTTCCTCCAATGGCGCGACCACCGCCCATGCAAGATCCTCACCTTCCTCCCCCGGACAATCAGCCTTACCGTCATCCCTCCCCATCGCCGCGCGCCTCGCCGTACCAGCTGGCACCCCCACGGTCCAAAAAGCAAACCCGCTCCACATCGCCGTATCCAACCTCCCCAACCTCCCCAACTATGCCATCCTCTCCACAAGCACTCATGTCGCCCCTTTCTCCGGTTTCCCCTTTCTCTCCCGTAACTCCAACTCACCCCTCCTATTGCTACAACTCCAATCCGGCACAACCTCCTCTCCATCACCCGAGCCCTCGCCTGAAATCCGCTCGCTCTACATCCTCCGTCCCTCGCGGATTCCGTGACTTTGATCGCAACCACCTCCCCCGCGCACACTCTGCCCGTATCATAGAGCAAGAGAAGGCTGCAGGGTTTTTGAAGATGGATGATTTGATTAGACAGCACGAGGCATTGAAAGCGCAAGTAAACGAGGCGAGGGGTGTGCGGACAAGGGAGGAGGTGGAGAGTGGGCAGATGTTGGAGGTGTTGCAGGGACTGATGGGGATGTCTCATTAATTGGGAAGGGGAAGGGAAGACTATTTAATTGGTAGCGGAAGATTGGAGAATTATACCCGTTGGGCGTTCGTTTCGGCGGTTATGTAGTGCAATGTCGGATGATAGAATAGGTTCTGCATAGTCAATATTTTCTGTACTGGATACATTTTTTGGGCCACAACACGACTGAAGAAAGATTTACCGCCCCCACATGAGAGAGCCGTGGAGGTCCTTTGTTTGGTTTACTTGCATCTTTTGATGCTATTTAGGAATGGTCAGCGGGAGCACGTACAAAATAAAACAACTGCGCGCGCAGCGAGCGCTCGAGCTCCGCGGTATCCAGTACAATGGCCGACTTCCTCCATTCCGTCCCGGGGCGGCGGAACGAAAGTGAGTGGTCGGTTTTGAAGGAAATGATTCGTAATTAGCAACTTTCTGTGCCCTCAAGTCGGGATTTTCACTCAAGCTTCGCCATGGGAACCCAGAATTTCGGGAAGAAAGGTCGAGCGCAAATTAAGCTCCTGAGTGGGAAGGTGAGCTGGATGCTGACATTCATTTTGCTTGAACTACTGTTAATAAGATTATTTTTCTCGTCGGTGTCGGGGCAATGGTTCATCTTGCTCCTGAGTGTTGTAGCAGTGCGGTAGTAATGTATTCAGTTGAAGCTGACGCATCGCGGCCGGGGTATCGCGCGCCTCCACTTTGATCCAACCTGAACGCAAGTACAATCCTAAAATAATTATATTTAACTATGACTTCCGGCCCCCCGAATCCCCTCCTTCTCGGCTCCCGGTCCGTGGCAAAGGCAGCAACGGCGTTTTATTCCACGGCGGTACCTTATACCCAGACCCCTTCCCCGTGATCATGCTGTTTCCTGTAGCGCTAGTCCCAAAGAATAATGTCCCCATTGGACCTACGCCAGCAGGTGGGGATCCAGTAGCTGTTGTGCTGTATCCCGCGAAAGACCCAGGTTTCACCTTGGATCCGCCGCTGGGTACCGTCGGATCCTTTTCCAGCGATCTCCTGCGTGAGGCAATGATGGACGCGCCTCCAACGCTGGCGCTTGTCGCAGTTGAAGTGCTGGTGGAGCCTGCTCCCAATCCGCCTACGGGTATTCCGCGGAAACTTCCAGATCCAGCGTTCGTTCCACCGACGGGTGCAGGGCGTGCGGGACTCGCAGGCACCCTACCACCAAGACCTGGTAACCGTGCTGGAGATAGCGTATCAATGTCACCAGATCCTAGCTCGCCTCTTGCACTGTACAATGGAGGTGGGTCGGTCTCGCGGTCCATGAAGCCGGTACCAGCCAAAGGAGTATTTCTATAAGCCGTTTTAGAGCGAGTCGAGCGGGTAGCTGGCATGTTAGCTGACTTCGCCCGTTTGGCCATATCTTGCTGTAAAGATGCTGATGTTGACTGCGCTGTATTGGAGATGGTTGTTGTTCCGCCTCGGGGTGAGTTCTGAAGACCTGCGGTTCGGCTGAGCGGACCGGGAGAGGTCGTCGCGATATTCCCAAAACTTCCCCGGCTACCGCTGGACCTATCCAGGCTATTTGAGCCTGTCCCAAAGGAGGACCCGCCTCCTCCGGCTTCTCCGATTTTTCCTGCAACACTCGACCGTCTCTTGCTTGATACCCCGCTGGCACCCCCACCAGCCCCGCTG